GTCCAAGTCGTTGATTGGCTTTATTAACTTGACCTTCAATATGCTTAGAAAATTTCAACTCATTGTCGATGTTAACTCCTAAATCCTTTTCCGTTTTCGACTTCGACATCATCACTCCGTCGTTGCAACCGTGTCTTCTCATACTGTAATATAGGTAAGTAATTTGGCCTGAAATGCAAGCCGAGAACAGACGCATGATGAACAGAAGGCGTCTCTGCTCGCCTCTCATTCATCACACAGTCTAGTATTGCATGTGGGCTCAACTTGACTAAAGTAGGAATTTTAATGTTAATTAGGGTGCAATTTGAGGGAGAATGCGAATAGCAAGATGTAGAGCGAAATGGTTGTTCTTGTTCTTGTTCTTATGGGAAACACTGGGTTGTTTATATAGGGTAAAATAAAAGCTACGTTCCGTTGCGGGTTGCGAAGTATATACAGTAGGTGCAAATAGTATCCGACACAAAGGAAAAACTTTATTTAATTAGAGCTAATTCAACAAAATGACATAAACAAAACCTATTCTAATGTAAATGCATATGCGAAATACAAATATCATATCATATCATAACAACAATATCATTTAATATTTACTTGATTATTGCAATTTTTTAAAAGTCAAGGTTCAAAACGTATACAACACATATTCAAAAAATTTACTCTATTTACTCTATCATGAGACCTTTAGCAGCCTTAAACTGTTTCTAATCTATTGGAATACTTGTTCACAAGATTAACTCATATGCTAATAGGAATTTTAGCCCACTCTTCCTTGCATATTTCTTTCAATTGAATAATATTTCTTAGCTCTCTCGCTCCCCTGTACCCTCAATTTCAATTCCCGCCACAAATTTTCAATCGGACTGAGGTCAGGTGATTGGCTTGGCCATTCCAATAACTCAATGTCCCTCTAATGAAACCATGCAATAGTTGCCCTAGCCGTGTGCTTAATATTAGGGTCATTGTCTTGTTGAAATCTCCACGAAATCATCACGAAAGCATTAATTAATGTATAATGTTTTCAATCTGGGTCATTGTCGCGCCCACGAAATTTCCCTTTCGTTAAATTCAATTATTTTCAGCTTGGATAGGGATAAAACTATCCCATTGCCTTTTTTACTTTTCATGCATCGATAGTTCTGCGATAATTTTGTAATTTCAGTTTAGAGACGCTCCACGTCGCGTTATTGCTCTTGCTCGTCATTGTTCACTTTGACTTGGAAGTCGGCTGTGCTCCTCTTTATGTCTGCCCACTGTTCAGTGTTCATTCACACCTTTATGGTAAAGCCGCAATCTTCGTGAGTATTAATTCTGTGACCATCAGATTATATGTTGCGTGTTCATTTCGCTATAAATTTCAGTGTTAACGATTAGGTATGCGTTTCCCTATAAAATACTCAAAGCTATAGGCATTCAGTGATGTTTTATGCGCAGTACTTTGTCCAGCCATTGTTCATTCTTTGAAATTTTCATGGATTCGATATAGGATTCGTCAATTTGCTGTTCTCTGAATCTGTAAAGAATATGACAAATTGTAAATCCTTTTTATCATTTTTTGCAGATTACTTCGTTTAGGTTGCCACCCAAGATTTCAATAAAGTTACAAGAAAACGCTTTTGGATTAACCCACGGCGGAAATCCCTGTAGCCAGGGAACTGATGCCGTGACAGTCATAGCACGAGATTTTTATACTTCCTCATAAGTTGTTTGCTTAATGTTGATTCCTGGAGCAGCAAAGATTTAGCATCCATTATCCTCTCAACTTCATATCACCTCAGCTCAATAACCGGTACGGTACATATGAATTAGCATGAGCTTCGACACTTGCTAGATTCAAATGCTAGTACTTGAAAACGACCGAGAAGCCTACTTTCTTTGGAATTTAACAGAATGAAACTTACGCATATGGCGGAGTATTGCAATTTTTCCTTAACATCAGATCACATCGTGTATTTTTTTCGTGCAGGTTTTATTTTACACAATTAAAAGATAAATAGGATCATGCGCAATTTCCTTTCAAGTTTCCTGTCACCCAAATAATGCTCAAAAATAGATTTAATCGTTTCTCTTTTTTTAGTCATGGAATAGATGTTTAAATTCTGTTGGGGTTTTGCAGTTTTAGGCTTCTATAATATTAACTTCGCATATCTTATTTTCAGACAGTAATTAAGCATATATTTTGAGCATTATAGAAAATTAAGCAGCAATCCCACCGGATCATTCAAAATGGCGAAAAGGTGAAAGCCATAAGACGCACATATTTTTTTATTGAATTTTAAATGCCGCAGTCAAATTTATTCTAGGTACATGAAGATCAAATTTGATTCGGTAAGTTGCTAGGTGAATCGGAGCTCCATCGGCATGTTGCCATGTGATTCAGAGCCCCATCGGTATGTTGCCATGTGATTCAGATCCCCATCGGTATGTTGCCAGGTGATTCAGAGCCATATCGGTAAGTTGCCATGTGATTCAGAGCCCCATCGGTAAGTTGCCAGGTGATTCAGAGCCCCATCGGTAAGTTGCCAGGTGATTCAGAGCCCCATCGGTAAGTTGCCATGTGATTCAGAGCCCCATCGGTAAGTTGCCAGGTGATTCAGAGCCCCATCGGTAAGTTGCCAGGAGATTCGGAGGCTCACTTATGAAATTCCGATCAATGTTGATACTCGTGTTACATACTGTCAAACATATGGTCAAAGCTATGAATTTGTAAAAAAAACAACGAAAGTTTACTTTTCGTTTGACATTATTCGTTGCAATGTAAAGAGAACAGAGAACTATTCTGTTCCCTCCAAAGTAAATTAAATCTTGCAATGAAATTTTCATTAAATAGATGTTTGCCCTGGAACTGCTCCAATAATTTTAGATACACTGCATGGTTTGAAAAAATATGAAAATTCAGTTTTTAATATGGTACGCTTGCAAAAGCGAATAAACTAATGTTTATTTAAATAGGAATTGTTTTGTGAATTATAGAATACGTAATCGCATTCAATGCACAAGCCATTCGTATACTTGAATACCCAATCAGCTTAAACACATCGGAAAATGATACAAAATGAGAATATTATAGTATATTTATGCATACAATGCGTACAGCACTACTTGACAATAGTTACAAATCTTCGTTTGAAAACAAATTTGAAATACGTCGCCTCTATTTTAAAACAGCTAGCAATAGTTATCCAAGGACGTTTACGGTCAACAATACATAAAACAATCCTGTGTAAATACACAGAGATGGTAATATTACTCTTTAAAAGATAAAAATTATTGCACCGCAATAATTTACTCAAATGAGTCAAACCAAAATCATGTCAGACACTTCAGTATAAACAAGCCGTTCAATTTCAGTATATATGCCTCACAAGCCTTACAAATTAAGATGTTATATAAATTATTTTGTAGCGAAATCCCTCAATTAATTTCTTTGTATATTTTGAGATCAAAGCAAGGATTAAAATAGTGAACCATTAAATTTTAATTACGTATGTTACAGTATATTGAAAAAAAAACTTGCCTAGAGTCTATGCAAAAAAAAATTTAATATTACGGAATTGCATCTGGCTGTTACGTCCGAATTAAGGTTCACTGTGTGACAATAACAAGACTTGCATAGAGGACAGCCCGAGTATATAAATAAATACTTAACAATAAAAAAGGAAACAACAACAGGCAAACACGCAGTACAATACTTGCTATATATGAGCGTTTCTCACATCGGAACGCAGCATTCAGCATTTCTGACAAATAATGTATTTGTTACGCACACTCATTCACTAACGTTGTCTGAGCCTGAGTGCACACCACAAACATTGAAAAAGAAATAAGTTTAACATTAATCTAAAATGAAAATAATATTTATTTCATTACGATATACACAACACTAAAGCGCAGAGAAGCGTCCCAATTACAAGTTTATTATTTTTGGTTAACTATGACGACGAATTAACAAAAGACGGAAAATAAATATTAGTGATATATGTTTTAGATTCAAAGTTTCGTATAATGAAAAACATTCAACTTATCAAGCAATAGAAGTGAAGGTCGAGGAATTTAATGTAAGGATCTTTAGCGAGTAATGTAGCGTAATAAAAAAAAAGAAATTTGTAAATGGTGTGAAAAATCATAGCAAGTCTCGACAAAATCAAAGCAAATTGCTTGCATCATTTCCTCTTTTGAACGCATATGAGATTTAATTAAATTTAAAGTAAGACGTGGCATTTACGCTCCCGAATGTTATGGAGGATTTGTATGAAAATTATCTAGAATAACACTTAAAACATCGAAGAATAAATGGTGGACACCTGCTTTGAGAACCAAATTAAAGGTAACATCAAACCACACTCGGCCTACGCTGCTTATCCTTAAAACAAGGACATAAGTCATAACAAAGGGGATACATGATGCCGCAAACACATCATTAAACTTCACAAAATTAAATCGAACAACTGTATTTTGCTGGAACGTTTACATCATTGAACACGTCAATTGTTTGAGTAGGAATGATCATGCAATGCGGTCTGGGTACATTCGCCTAAACATGAATGGAAATAATTTATGATAAATTTGAGTTACACGCACTGGGTCAATTCACTGAACGGTGCTGATAGCAAAAGCCTGGCCTACGCTGCTTATCCTTAAAACAAGGACATAAGTCATAACAAAGATGATACATGATGCCTCAAACACATGATTAAACTTCACAGAATTAAATCGAACAACTGTATTTGCTAGAACGTTTACATCATTGAACACGCTTATTGTTTGAGTAGGAATGATCATGCGATGGGGTCTGGGTGAATTCGCTTAAACATGAATGGAAATAATTTATGATAAATTTGAATTACACGCACTTGATCAATTCACTAAACGGTGCTGATAGCATAAGCCGCTTGACTTTTTTAGTTATGCACATTGAAATGCTTCCATCTTGTGACCAAATGATGTAACAATACAGAATTTTAATAGAAACCTCTAATTGATAGAAACCCTTAATTGATAGCTGAAAGTTCCAGCAAGAAATATCAATGCATGCAAGAACGTTTAATGAGCCTACGGTTGATACGGGAGTTTGCCAAGCGATGCTGCATTCACAGGGATGATGCCGACCGATGATAACAAGGCGATGATGCCGAGTGACTATTAAACGGTGATGATGTCGAGTGATGATTACAGAGTGACGATACCGGCTGATGATCGCAGGGCGATGATGCCGAGTGATGATTACAGAGTGACGATACCGGCTGATGATCGCAGGGCGATGATGCCGAATGATGATTACAGGGTGACGATACCGGCTGATGATCGCAGGGCGATGATGCCGATCAGTGATGATTGCGCTGCTACGATGCCGACTCCTCGATTAGTTCACATTTTAAACAGATGCGTTTTAATTGAGACTAAGAATAGTTAGCTTTATTCACATCGGAAGAGTTAGACGCCGATGATGGAGTTGATCCAGTCGATGTAGTAAGGAACATCGACATAGACACCAGGGATGCCACGTTGTCCACATCCCAGGCCCCAGGACACAACACCCGCGAGCTGGAACTCCCCTCCGCTGCTCCGACACACCAGGGGGCCACCGCCGTCTCCCTGCATGCATAATCGTTGTGCGTTAATTACATCAAAGTTTTATATATATATATATTACGACCAATATAGATTTCGAATCGGTTTGAGATGAACTTTTGTCAAAAAACAGATAATGCGTAACTAACGAGGGACCAAAGTTCATTTATTAAATTAAATTCAATCGATTGAAACGATTCACTAATCGGACACTACCGGAAGGTCACTGTCAAACTTTCCAGAAACTTTCCATATAATTCATTTGTTGACAATTTTTAGAATAAAATGCAATCAGAATGCTCCATAATTTATTATCCCGACTTACCTTGCAGGCGTCCTTGTTTTCTTCACCTCCAGCACACACCATGCCAGCTGGCAGGGAATAACTGGTGCCGAGCTTCGTGGTTCTCAAGATTTGCTGACACAAGTTCGAGTTGAGGATTGGCACTTGAGTTTCCTTGAGGATTGACTGGAAGTCTCCTTCACTTCCCCATCCGTCCTTGCCCCAGCCTGTGATGCGGCACACTTGTCCGGAGAAGTCTTGGCGACTCGCGGGCAGGCATACGGGGGAGATGTGGGGACTGAAGGAAAAAGTTCAGTTAGTCATACGGTGATTGTACTTTAGATTAGTCGATTGATATCAAGTTTGGAACAAAACTTAGCGTGAGCTGTGAAACTTAGCTAGGCGAGCTAGTCAATGTTTACAGCAAGCACCAAATTAATGAGTGAAAAACTCCAAGTGTCTAATAGTTATATTAGAATAAATACTTGAGTAAAATATTCAAGATATCTGCGTACGCCTCTTCGGCCGCAAAATCTTCAAGTTTTAGTTGCATTAGACGGACTCTGAGTAATTAATGTGTTTTTCATCGTTTGTTTGTTATGTTTTGGAGGTTTTTATTGAGAGCTCAAGTAGATATTATAAATTGCTGCAGTTAATAAATTTTTTCCATCATGCTGCTCTTAATTGAATTGGCATTTCATTAGCTGTTTAGAAATTTCGTTTGGCTTACTATTTGCTGTAGTCCACGAATCTGTCCGTTCGGAGGATGGCAATGTCGTTCTCCAGGTTCCCTTCGTAAAATTCAGGATGACTGTAAATGCCAGAGACGTCGAATTCGACGTAGGGATAGAATTCACTCTTGTCCCTGACGTCCCACTCTCCAAGTCGGATCTTCAGCAGACTTGCATCGATGCTGTAAAATAGATTAACTTAAAGTAGATACATGAAATGAAGTCGATCGTGAGAATTGAAAAAAAAAACATTACTACACACATACGAGATACCTAATTCATTCTCAGTAATTTTATGATTTTTAACCTTTTTGATCCTCAATTGCCTAGACATTACATTTTGCACAGTGTTATTTGGACGATAATCTAAATTCTTATCACACAAAGCGTGAAAATCAAATTTGAACGCTATGAAAGGGCAATAGTCAGTTTTAATTCAAATCCGTTCGTTATTTGAACTTTCTTTCTGAGGGCTGATCACCCACATAAACAACTTTGCACGTTTACAATTATTCAGCCGGGAAAAATCCTCCATTTAGGTCACTGAATATCTACCAATAAATCCGTGACACTTTACCACAGTAATACGCGATAATTAATTGTCAAACTCATTCTTCTCTAAATGCGTAACCTTAAATAGGTATTGAATAACTCACTCCTTGACGCAGTGAGCGGCCGTGACCAGGAACTGTTGGTTGATGAGGGTTGCCCCGCACACGTAGACAACTTCACCCTCGGCGCGGCGCAGGATGGCTGCCTGCCAAGGGTACTCTCCGAAACCGGCGCGGCCAGGCTGCCGGGATGAACAATGTGATGTATTATTCTTATATGTCGGATAAATAATTGGTATTAATATTGTGTGCTCTGATTTTTTTTGGTTGAGTAGTCTAATGCCGCCTGGCTCACTTCCTCACAAAGAATTAGTTTAGCTATTTATTTAATAAAAAATGTCCTTGATTTACTCGTATTAGATCTAAGAAATGAACCTCTGAAACAAACCATCATATATCTATAATTTCAAATAAAATCAAGTAATGACACGAATGTGGATGAAAAAAATATATTTTTCACAAATTTAACCCAAATGGTTGAAATTGTATAGAGCTCCAGCACGAACAATTTGCATATCAACTTTTTTCGAGTTTACAAATCTATAAGACTCGATGTTCATTACTCGCACTGTAGGAACAACTACACAAGATAAAATCCATTCTTACCTCACTGTCCTTAGTTTTAATTCGTCCGTGGATGTTCTCATCGTTGGAGATGCCGCAGACGGGCAACGCCCTGGCAGGGTTGTACACAGGACGACGACAGCACACGGTGCCAGCCCGGCACCCTTGTGGTCCCGGCGTGTAACCAGTCAGCTGACGCTATCAATTCAGGACGAATATTGTTTAAAGTGACAAATTTATCTTATTCAACCTGAAAAAGTTTTCTGATAAATTGCGTGTACTAGACCATGGGGTTAATTTTGTGGCAATGCAATCGCAAAATTTATGCTTCAAGAATGGAAGCAAGCGAATTCTTAACCTCGTCTTGGTTTCGTTCTTGTCTCAATAAGCGATTAGGAATTATTTTAGATCTACGAAATACGTGTTGATTCATGCATAGGAGTCCGATGAATTTCTTTCAAAATCAGTACATTAATTCCAAAATATCAAGTGCAAATGGCTAAACAACCTAAATAGATCTCGATTGAACTAAATGTAATTAAGATAATATTTAACTTACTCCCTGCACATCACTGAAGTTCTCTTCTGTAGTTTCATTTGTCTCTCTCTTCCTCCTGACGACAGGAACGTCGGTAATGTTTCCGCTGGCGACAGTCTCGTCTTCGTATGAGTAGTATTCTGGAGCTTCAGTGGCATTCGCTGGATCTTCATAGTCAGCAAAATCGTAGGAGGAATTAACATCTCTGTTATCAACCTCGGTCTCATTTTCGGCAGAAGTGGCGTTGGAATAAACGAGGTTGGCACGGTTGCGAGCGTCAATAAGGTGAGTGAGGTCCCTGTCGGGTCGGATAATATTTTCTCCAGAGCAATACTGCTCAGCAACGCAATGACAATCAGTTCTGTAGATTGTACGTGAAAATTGATGCAGAGAATTTTGCTGAATCATATCCTCAATCGTAAGTGAGGGTTTGAAACCAAATTCAGGACGAGACGGCGGCTGGAATCCTTGGCCGTGGAAAGTATTATGTTGATTTGTTCCCTGTGCGATGAATTTGGTATGAGAAGAAAATCCGTTGTTACCCGTGGTTCCGAAGTTTGAAGTAGATTGACTGTCGAAGGGGTTCACGTTATGAACATGGCCAGTTGAGACGCCTTGGTGTTGAGAATTGAAATCGGAAACAGTAGATTGCGAGTGTCCTGATTGGAAACCATTTACTTCTGAACCAAAACCAACCTTACCCGATCCAGATGACGTGAATGAAGTGGGTGCACTGCTTCCAATTACAACGTTGCTGTTATCGTCAGACTTCTTCTTGAAATTAGTATTATAGGTATTGGTAGGAATGTGATGTGTGTCAACATACCCGTCATTTCCCTGTGGAACAACTTGTGCACCGTGATAAACGTGAGTGTGTGAATGAAGGTGCTGCACTTTAGTGGCATCAATGGGACCAACTGTACGAGTGAAGATGGAGGTCACCGTGGCAACAGGTTGGATGTGATTTGCTTTATGAGGGGTAATAACAGGAGAGTTGTAGCTTGGCTCTGCATACGAAGATTGGGCAGCAAATCCTTTCTTTTGATGAGAAACTTGATAAATTGGCTTGGGAGTAATGAAAGGAGGTTCTGGTGCTCCGTATGCAGATGCCGGTGGAGTGTAAGCTGGCTGCGGAGCCCCGTAAGTAGGGAAGGGCTGGATGGGCTCGGCTACGTAAATGGGGACTTCGTATGCACCTTGAAGTGAACCTGCAGGAGGCAAGTAAGTGGGCAGTTTGGAAGGCTTGTATCCTTTCTCGGGCTTTGGCTTGGTGTACGAATCGATGAATCCTGAAATAAGGTCAGTGACCCCACCACCCTTCTTGTTGCCTTTATTCTTATGATGATTAAAAGTTTGTTCTGGCACGTATGATCCGTACGGAGCTCCGTAGTTGTCGTACGCTTGTACCGGAACTCCGTATTGAGAGTTGATGCTGGGAGGGTATCCATGACCTTTTTTCTTGATTTTGTTGTCGCACTGAAATCAAATAGGAGTTAAACTTGAATAACAAATTAATTTTAGCGATTTCTTATTTAATCTGCGAATTGGTTTAACATGTATGTATTTTTGTAGTCTTCTGGAAAACGTCTGACACTGGCCAATCATGTTTAGTCGCAATTTTCGTATAGGAAAATTTAATTATCCATTATATTGTATGAAAATTTATTGTAATATGTAGTTCTAAAATACTCACTCTGACACCCACGCCCCAGCTGCAGAGTGTGTCGCTGATGCCGAGGAACCTGGCCTGTCGGTCCTTTTCTGTCTCCCCGACAACTCCCGCTTGCGAGACTTGCCCAACAAGTTGTGCCTGAACAACAGCCGGGGTGGAAGGTGCATGGGGCTCTAGTGGAAGGGGCTCCGAAACACCACCGGCGGGGATGTTGATCACATTGCCGTCGGTGTTGAAATGTTTGGTGTGAGACCGGCCCTGTTCAATGCCCGAATTGGCCGAAGATTGGGCCTCGGCCACAGCTGCTGCAGCCTTCTTCTCTTCGGAACCCCAAGACCAGCCTCCGTCGGGTGCTGAAGCTGCCGTGGCGATCAGCAACGCCATAACAACTGCCGAGGAAAAACACAGTATTAGGCGCACGCTTCTGGGATATACGGATCACACAGTGCAACGTTTCTTTATTAATTGATTTAAAAAATAAACAAATAAATATTTAGGAAAGCCAAAAACGGTATCATCCACAGAGCGCTAACTCAGGAACATCGGTTTTAACGGAATACAACAAATTTTTGATTACTGACAAGCGAATAACAATTTTTTTGGTCTCTGATCTCTTTGTCGGATCGAAGAGATAAGAGTGTTTTCCTTATAAATATTGCCGTCGAGGGGAAAAAGTTAATACGACTTTCTAAAGTTTTTTATTGATTCAAGAATCTAGGATGGCTTATCTTGTAAGTACTTTTGATGATATTAGAATTAGGCTCTCGCAGGAGTTTCCGGTTATAGATTCTAGTGATCTATGCGTCCTTCGTAAAACTTCTCAGTTTTTTCCTGGAGAAATTCAAGACTCAACCGCTGCACTGAAGCGCCTGTGCTACTGACAAATCTAAAAGATTCACCGACCATCACCCGCATCACCGCATCTTCCTCATCACCGCCCCGCCTTCATTTACTTTCAAAAGGTCGACACTTGAGTCACGCCGAGCTTATTCACTTTCACTTCGCCTTTGTCGAACATCGCAGAGAAGAGAGATTAACGTCGTGGCGTCTCTCGCTTTTCAACCGAAGCTCATGAGATGATGCGCGACAAATGAACTCTACTGTTCTGATCGTGCAGTGATTATAACTTCGGTGTTGCTCGACTGAACTTCCTGTCAGACAGTAGATTATCTCCCGGTGCCGTGAGAAAGCGTATCACTCCGGATTTCTCTTGCGGTCCGCGTCGCGCGAATTGACGCCCACGCTCGTTCGTGCAACATACCGGCAACATTCGATGTCACCCGAGTCGCTATTTTGAAAAAAAAATCTTCTTTGTATGTTTTTATTTACCTTTAAGTCAATAATTTCGTCAACATAAACCAAAATCATATGAATAATTTTTTCAATCTGATGGGCAATTTAAATGAAGAGGATTTAGGTGCCCAATCATAGGACGCGTTCATTAAACTCTTCAGTACACCAACCAATACGACTAACGAAAGCACGTGCAGACTTTTAGCAGCATCTTGCCGATAAAAATTTAAATCCAGAATTGAGCTCATCAATCATCATAAAATCCGAATTTTTTATTGAAATATATGCACTTGCTTAATATGAAAGGAAATATAAAATTTTTAATACTTCGACGAGAGTTATTGAGTAATTGAGGCCATATAAGTTAATATATTAGTCTATATTCCTGATGTACAATGAGCTTATTAAACTCGGAGTCATTTTACAAGCTTAAATAACAGTGAGCTTTAAAATATATAACAGTGAGCTGAAAAATATATAACAGTGAACAGTAAAATATATAACAGTGAGCTGTAAAATATATAACAGTGAACAGTAAAATATATAACAGTGAGCTGTAAAATATATACGTTGCATAATATAAAGTAGCAGCAGTGACAGACAGCTCACGAGGAACGTTGAGCCGTTCACATCACGTCGCGTGAAGTTCATCATTTATCTTCCTTGTTCCTGGTCATGTTAGACGCAGGACTTGCAGGCTTTATTTGGCTGAGTTACCGCGCGTGGTGACGGTGATTAGTGATCTCAGATAAGTGCTAATTGCTACTTTCGGCGCTCAAATTACAGACAGAGAATTTATTATCGATGCACTGACAATGCATAATCCTCCCCAGAACACACATGTAAAGTCTGCCTTTCTATTCACGGGTAATGCTTATTTCATACCTGTTAGCATACCATTCTACCCCCTATCATTCCCTTTTTTATTTACTTTCTAATCCTCTTTTCCCTTACACCACATTTACTCAATTTCCTTTGATTCCTTTCTCCTATTCTAACTGTGCAATTCAACCTCCGTACACATTCCAAATTTCGTTAGTAACTTTATTTCTTCATTAATTTATTCTCTCTGGTTCTTTAATAATAAAAAGTATAATATAAAAAAGAGTATAATAAAAGCTACGGTCGACGTGAGAAGAATTTAAAGTTGGAGTGAGGGAGCGACGGTATCGATGCAGTGAAAGTATTCCTGCAAGCGCTCCATGGAGACAGCAGCGGGAGCACGCCCTCCAACTCCAAGCTCTTACTCCAGTCTCCCTTCTACTACCTCCATCAATTTTTTTAGCCATTATATACACAACATATCAATTATTTGGAAGTCCTGAAATATTTGTATAGAAATTGATTATTTTAAACTGATTTTGGCGAATATCCTGCACGTTGCTCTTATTAGAATAATATTTCTGCCTTTCCTGAATATGCCAATTAAAAATAATATTCTTGACAGTATTCTAGAACTTAGCTCAACTTTTACGACTCCACAAGGGATAAAAAATTATTGAATGAGCACGTTTGTTTCTTCACGCAATGTGGGCTACAATAATATTAAAAATGCATGAAATGAAACTGAATAGAACATATGAAGCCTAATTAGAGTGTCCAATGCACAAAATGCAAATAAAATTATTACCCGTATGGGCAATGATTTAAAATGCCCCCTTTTTTATTCGGACATCAGAGTTATTGATCATAGTAAAATGAAGTCTACAATCAACCTAGAATGCATTATCAGCTTCTGGAGCAAAGTGAAGGCACATGTCCAAGCATTGCAAGAGAAAGGCGACTGAAAAAATAGACCCGAGGAAAAGTGATCGAACCTTCGCTGCTGTGCCGCACCGCCCCACTTGATTGGTTCAACTATTCTCAACTGGTGAAAACATTTCCAATGTTATTCCTATGAAGAATTTAGCAGTTTTTGCGCAATCTATTCGGCCATAATTAAATCTTTAGGTAAGCACGTACATTTTTTGTTTCAAAATCATATTTTCAATTTATTTTTGTGCACATATTTAATGTTTCAATCAAAGAACTCGTTTCTAAGTTCGACATTTAACACATACTCGATTGCTTCGAAAATTCAATAAAATACAAATTATTTTTGCCAGTAAAAAAAATAATTTGGTTTCTATTCCCATTAAATTAACAAATAAGGATATTTTTCGTTTCAACTGCATCTAAATTAAATAATTATTTTTAATTTTTATTAGAACCCTTCATAGGTCTCGGATGTTTAAGGCATAATTCCATTCTTTGCTTGAAGCAGGTTAAAACTGGAAAAATTATGTTTTTGTTCATCCTTTCAATTGCTTCTCGTACTCACATGCCTCAAAAGCTATCGTCTCAAAATGAATCAAGCAACAATAACATGATACTCCGACAGTAAAGTGTAGGAAGGGCTGTTTATACATTTACGCATGACATTTTCAAATCACAGGTTGATTAGTTAACTAATATATAACAAAACAGGTTGCAAGCTACTCACATGCAACCTTCATGGTGTCGCCGTAAGCCAGTATTTCTAGGCGTCGTAAATAAATAATATTTTAATAAAAGTTTCACTTTGGCTTTCTCTTGAGTCTGGAAAAGGATTTAATGTTATTAATTGATTTCATTCAACTTCCTAAATAATTGACTGTTAAGTATTTATTGATTTCAGGTTATAAATGTAGAGGTAAAATTTGTCTTCCGGAGTGGAGAGTTGTTGTTTTAGGTTCTCGTCATCAAGTCAAATGCCGAAAATAACGAACAAATATTAATTTGTGTTGAAGATAGCCATCATTGAATAAAGTAAGCCTTTTCATTGATGCCAGAAACTTTCGATCAGCTTCTATCAGTAGGAACTAAGGTGATAACATGATTTTCGTGAAAGAGTTATGAATGTTTTCAGTCTTATTAAAATATTTAAAATCGTTTGAAAATGAATCATCCAGAAAATATATTTATCATAGAGTTGATTATTCTCCCTGGAAAATGTGAATGTTATCATTTCCAATTTTCATTCTTTTCATATCAGGTACAGTCTTTAGTCAAGTCAGTCAAGTGATGGTCTCCGAGCGCACTCCACCTGCCACTCCGAGGAACTCGGCCGTTCAACTGATGTTGGGGAGTCCGCGACGTCGCTTTTATACCGACGCGCAGGGCAGCGTCGCCTCTCCCTCAACCAACGCATCACAATTATTTCTCAGAGGTCAAATTACACGTAATGCAACGATGAATTGATATTATTAATAGAGTATCTAATAATTTCATTATCCTTATCCTCTCGATTCCAAATTTCTGATGTGTTTTTTTTTTTTTGGTCTTCAGGTTGGCAAAAGCAGGAGCATCAAAACACGAATGAGAGTTGACAGTGAAAGCACCGGAAGTTGAAGGTCAACTTCGATGGGTTTCTGGAAATTTGGAATGTATGACCATTTCAAAGCAAGTACCGGATCAGCAAACTGCAAATAGGTAGCAGTTTGCTGAAAATTTTCAATATCAGTATAAAAGCTGTAATCTATAATAAACTTTGCACTCAGAAATGCAACGTGAACACAATATTTCTGATATGAATTAATAGAATTCAAAAAGGGGTTTAGGTTATTAATTCTGCTCATTTCGAACATGCAAAAATTATATTTGAATAATACGTCATGAATAATTTACGGATTAATTTACTGTATCCGCATTTCTTAAAGAAAATATACATATTCTAACCAACAAATACTGAAAAATTTATTACCCTATTAATTTAGGTGAAGACCGCTTAGTAAAGAGCTGCTGGACTCCAGAGTCGCTCAGACCATATATAGCAATAAGGTTGTATATATTTTTTTATTATTAGTATTAGAATTCTTCACGTTGTTCTTACATGAGAATGGAATATTTTAAACCGAAACATCTCGCCAAACTAAGGATTCAAATTTTTTAAGCTATATAAAATTTCACATATGCTCAATATAAACGAAGCCAAGTGATCTATGATATGCATATATGTACTTTATCATTTTATTCGTAACATGATTGAGTATATTTTTTCCATTTTTCTTGCCAAAGCTAACTTGTTTCTTAATTCCAGTTTATTGAGTTCTTCTTTCGGCACGAACTATTTTATTGGGATTAAATGTAGATTCATTTCAACGATAACGTTATCGACCATCTCGCGAGCTCATAATGAAAGAAAGTGCGAAATCGAATGCTGCCACAATACAATTAAGTCGGCTAGCAGTTACTAATAGATTTTAAAAAGAAATACAATTCAGTGCATTTAAATTTATTTCACTCTTCTCGGCTCTCAAACCGGGTTTCATTTATTATAATCGATGTTATAACAAGAGTTTTTGGCTGGCAGCGATCAGAAGCGGATGTGAGTTGCGAGAGCGCGCTTGTGAGGGCTGCGCTGGAGCGAGTGATTGGGCGCTGCCGCCGGAAATACCAGAGAAAGTCGAGACGGGAAACTTCTCGTACGCCATGAGGGCAGAACGCTGTCTCGTGAACTGAGGGAAGATATCATTTTGATTTAATTATTCCTTACAAATTGTAAGAGTTTCATACTATCTCGAGTAGAGACATGTGCGTTTGTAAGATGTCTCTCGATGAAGACAAAGGATTTATGACCCCAACTGTTGTGACAACGCTTTTATCGGTGGGTTGGGTGATCCGTCATAAGCTTTTCTCTCAAAATCGAGCAGTGAATTCAAAATATGAGCAATTGTAATATTTCAATAGAATACACATGATATTACACTATTCTTTTACGGAATTCGGTGTTTTTTCGAATAATTCAAAATTTCATAGAACTCTTCCATAAGCTTAAACCTAAAAAATGTGAGTGATAGGACAAAAGCTATTTAAAAAACCCTCAGGCATAACGAAATGCATACGTAAACACATCGAGGAGTACCAGATAAAAATCAAGATTTACAGGGTGATTGTAAGCTAACGGGTTTGATCCGTGATACAAACGTCAGTGCGCACTACTATCAACTGCTGATTTTGAATGCTGACTTTGACATTAGCATTTTATCCTTTACTTGTTTCATGAGGTTACAATTTTTTAAAATATGAGTAGTGCCTGTGCTTTCATATCCTTTTCATATCATTTTCTCTGAAAATATACTATCCATCACTATTTTCATTCAACTTTTATAAAGATAAAGATTAAATTGTGTTGCCTGTTATGCTGTAATGGTAAAGACGGCATGATAATGAAAAACACTGCGTTATTTTAATTTACTATTACTATCCTTAATATCCATCAAACATTTTATTTTACTGTGTTTTCTTATTACAATCCTTTCTACCAAAAATTGCCTACTCTGTTCTAAAACTTCTCAGACAATGTTCTATCTCATAACAAATTCCACGTTCACGTCAAAAATTAGTTAGCTTAAGGAAAAGATTCTCATATGTTTAACAATGTGTGGACATTTGTTTAAAATACGACCTTTGGATAGCATCTACTGTAAAAATACCAAATTTTAAAATGAATCTGTGATCTATAAATTTGTCCTTCATGAATTGGACAAGAAATTGCAATTTTTGGGTAACAAGTTGCCCAAATAATACCGCTTTTGATTTGCATGCAGAAGTACGACTTTAAGGAAGTCAGCGTCTGTGCAAATATCATATGCAAGGTAGCTTTTCCCCAGAAAGACCAACTCCGGAAAGATGAGACTTTTTCACAAGATTTCTCAATAGAAGGCCTACTCTCCAACCTACATGCACGCAGGAAAGACTCTATCGCCTCCAGGCTACGTGAGCCAAAAAGTTTCAGCCTCCGTGCTACGTGAGCCGACAAGTTTCAGCCTCCTGGCTACGTGAGGCGAAAAGTTTCAGCCTCCTGTATTACGTGAGCCGACAAGTTTCAGCCTCCAGGCTACGTGAGCCGACAAGTTTCAGCCTCCTGGCTACGTGAGCCGAGAAGTTTGAGCCTCCTGGCTACATGTACCTAGAGAAGGACAGCGCTATTCAACCGAGGTTTTGGTCCTTTCTCCAGCGACCTTGAGGGGCAAGAGAAAGAGAAAGTGGCGCCATCTGACGGCCAAGCTAGAGTGTCTTGTCATGCTGCTTGCGATTGTTGTGGATGATGCCAAACCTTTTATGTTTGTCAATAAAACGCTCATTTCATACAAATAATTTTAATGACAATTGTTTTTTGGTCTCTTTAATATGAATATCATGTCATGCATCATAATTTGAAAATCATGTCATGCATCATAATATGAACATCATGTCATGCATCATAAAATGAATTTCATGTCATGCATCATAAAATGAATTTCATGTCATGCATCATAAAATGAATTTCATGTAATGCTTCATAATAAGAATATTATGTCATGCATCAACGATTGAATTGATATTAAANTTGATATTATAAAAACATAAGCATCGGCAGGGAATGAATTTGTTACACTTTTCACCATGCCTTGTACTTATTTAGGAAAGTTTAGTACTTGCATTGATAATGATACGTTCAGATGGATATATAGCAAGAAAACATAAGAAAATTTCCCAGTCCCCAACTTTAAGAAAAGCTCCACACTCTTCTTCAAGACTTTACTCCCATACACAGACATGATACGCGTAGTTACAAGTGTTTACGTCGCCATTCATATTATCATTGGAAGTGAAGATCCATTTGATCACGTGTAATATTACGGACAATTTTCACTATATTGCAAAAACTCAAGCACTAAGAATTGCACCAATATATATGGGAATGCAAATTGTTCACAATTTGACCAGAGACAAATGAGAGATTAAACTGGAATGCATCTTCCAATTCGTTAAAAGTATTATGATATAAGCATTATGTAGCGATGGAGAATTTTTGTTTACCAATTAAAGAGTGCCATGTTAAAAATATGGGTAGCATTGGTGGTAAATTTCATTAAATTTTGTTACCTGCCAGATTTACACTTTTCATTTTTTGAACGCTTCTATTGAACTAGTGACAATCAAATGTTTTCCCTTCGTTACCAAATTACCATGCCGCAAAGAGCATGTATCCTCCATCATAAATATTAACCCAATCGCAAATCATTGATACACATGACATAATTTGACCGATAATTCAATAAAAAAGTGTTAATTTGCAACATATATAATAATACTAATAATAATAATAGATGATATTCCTAAGTCTCCTCAAGTTTGCATAATTTTCACTCTTTTTCACCTGACGTCACCTTCAGCCTTACGACAACTTACGTCGACAAATCAACTCTCTTTGTTTTCCATGTATTTTAATTTATCACTTCAATCTTCATTTTATCAATGAAACCGATAATTTTATTTATTTTTTAATGTAAATACAACCTTATAAATATTTAAATTATATTTTACTTCGTTTGAAACGAAACCGATCCTATAACAGCCAACCGTGAATGAACCAAACTCTAAATAAAGCGAAGTTATAACCATGTAGCTCTTCAGCGCATATGTCAAGTTAGTCACTATTTGATTTAAATTTTCAATAAAGTTTCTCAAGAAGTTATTCAATTCCTAAACCTGTTAACAAGGGGATTGAAATATTTAAAAATAACCCCCTACTCAGTGTTTTTCTATTAAAATATCATGTAGCATACATTCTCTGAGGATGTCTCACTTTGCGTGACCTGAAGCAGAGTTGATCTTG